GCTAGACTGTTTGCTGCTCTTTGTGCCACGCTAAGGAGCTAACTAACATATTATTGCTGGCTGCTTGGAAAAAGACTGCGTGCCTGCTGAATTTCTCTTTCTTTCCTTCCCCTTCCCCACGACACAAACTCACAGCAGCTGAAGGCCTGGAGAAAGAGTATTCATTCCTGCAGCAGGGCAAAATGTTTCTAGCCACATGCAATGAACTTTTAGGAGCAAAATAACAAGACTTGGCTGGGTTTATGTGATGGGCATCCTTTCCACACCTGTGGGGTTGTGCATTTACACACACACCATTAGCAAAAAGCTCCTTACACATGGCACGGGAGATGTTACTAGCACACTTAAAGACCCCTTGATGTGAACACCGAGCTGCCGCTGGCCCTGCTCATTACAGAAACATTAGCCTCTGCTGGCCTTACTGAATCTAGGTTAGCCTGGTAAACTTGAGCATGGTGGGAATGGAGGAGTAAAAAACATGGGGTGGAAGGATGATAGGAATTTAGCTCAGTTTTCTCCTACCTTGAGTTACCTTACTAATGTTGAAAATTAAGTCTACTAAAAATTGAATGGCTTTAGAAAGAGAACAGAACCAGTGAAGAATTAAGATGGATTTAAAATCTCTCCTCTCCTCCATTATTCTTATAAGAAACTTCAGCAGTTCTGCCTTGGCCATCAAATGTCCTTAATTTTTCTGCTTTTTGGGCTCTTTTTTACTCTGGATGAGGCAGAGTAGAGAGTGGGAGGGAAGGAACGGGGGAGTGGGGTGGGAGCAGAAGTTTAACAAAGGATCACTTTAACAGAAACTACTGAGTAATCGCTCTGTCCTGCGCCAAGAATAACATCAGCTCAATGTCGGCAATTACAATCAGGTCAGTTGGGCCTCACTGCCGGTGTAGCCCTCCTCACAGACCCCAGCATGGAGAGCTACTCATGCTGATGTCACCAGTAGTCACTGTTGCCTGAGAAAGTCCCCCTACTCAGCTGAAAGAAAAGTTTTTTTTGCCTTCTCCTTCAGGGGCAGGAAGCCAGTATGAGGAGGGAAACTAGAGAGAAGACACACATCTGGATATACCAATCTATAACAGATTCACTTTGCTATCCCTAACTATCAAGATTCTGTAATTACCCCAACCATCCAGTAACTCCTTTTAAATGAGTTAGTGTATACAGAGTGCCTGGAATAGTGCTGGAACACAGTAAATGCTTATTAAGTGGTGGCCATTATTATTAAAACAAAAAGAGAAGAATCTGTCCCATTATTTATCTCTTGCCCTCCAAAAGACTTGAATCCTGGGAACAGTGACTGCTGAGCAGAATGTACCCTGATAAGAAGAATGAGCAAGGAGGTATTTTGGTTACTTATTCATGAGGAGACTGTGGTGGATGGGGTGAAAAAGATGGCAACAAAGTTCCTACAAAAATTATTGCCTGAAATTTTATAAGGGCAACACTAAGTTTTAACACATCCCGTCTCCCTTCCAAAGGACAGAAAACAAATAAGAAGAGAAATTTTTAATCTTTCTCTTTAGATCAGTGGTTCTCAAAGTGTGGTCACCAGAAAAATAGCATTAACATCACCTGGGAACTTCTTAGAGAAGTGGAAATAATTGAGCCCCCACTCCAAACCTAATGAATCAGAAGCAGGAAAACTTTCAAATGGTTCTGTTGCTCTGGACTAGAGGTCTGCAAACGAGGACCTGCAGGCCAAATCCAGCCTGCCACCCGTTAAATAAAGTTTTATTGGAAGACAGCCACACTCATTCATTTACATGTTGTCTATGGCTGTTTTCACACTATCATGGCAGAGTTGAGTAGTTTCAAGAGAGACCCTATGGCCTGCAAAGCCTAAAATATTTACTGTTTGGCTATTTACAGAAAGTTTGTCAACCTCTAGTCTGACTTAAGATGTTTTTCAAATTGCTGGTTTTACCCATCAGTTTGTAAAAAGCTCATAGTTTCAATTTTGCCTTATTTTGTTTATTGTGCTCTCTAATGTATTGGATCACACCAATTTTCTTGTATCTCTGTTCCTCGAAACCTCTGCCAATGGCTCTGGGTGACTTTCCTCTCTCACTCTCATGTTACAGGATCAGTCTTTTCCAGGGGTGGATTCAGTGCAAGACAATTTCTTGATTTCCGAGCACAATGCGAGACTGAGATAAAAATAAAAGCGCATGCATGAATGGTGAGAGACACCCATTTCCAAATTCACATACTGAATCAGAGTTTAATCAGAAATTAACACCTTCAATCAGCTGGATATCTAAGTGCTCTGATTGGGGACACAAAAGGATGGAGAACTTCCTCGGCATGTATTGGGAAAAAGGCTACATAATTTTTCTCCAAATATTTATTAGGTCGCTATGTAAAATAAAAAGTGCTATTCATGAATATAATTAGTATAATATAACATAATACAAATATAAGGCCTCCTTTAACATCCTATTGCATAAACAGGTCTCTCTTATGGATGAATGCTAGGTAAATCAGATTTCAATTTTACCCACTGCTCTCAAACAGGTGGTTAACCAAATTGTTAGTTACACCAATGGCTACCTACACTTTAGAAAAAATGAATCCAGAGTGCAAGGAGTTCATTAGAGAAGTATCATCTTTACCTAAAGGGTTAACCCAAGGACAGAAATACTGGACATACTGAGAATGCAAACCATGCTTTAATAAACAATTTGGTGATAATGTTAACGGTCAGATCTAGCACAGCTAAGCTAAAAACAAAGGCTTAAAGTCTAGTACGGCTTTGCTTTTGCTGTGTAGTGATTCTAAACTCCCTTTGAAATAAAGTGCTCTAAGTTCCTAAGTATTTTGCATGTTAGAATATTTAATATCTTATTTGCTATTTTGTTAGTAATAAACTCTTCAAGCTAACAGAATTTATTATTAATTTCTTTAGCTCTCCCCAAAAGTCCCAGAATCTAAGCCTTTTTTATTTTTACCCAAATCAGCTGTGGCTTAGAGGAACAGGGGGAAGAAATAAAATGATGTTATATACATACATAAAATTATGATGAATGATTTTCTGTTCCCTCTACAGGAGACATGAGATAACTCCCTTCTTGGGAGTTCTGCCTCCTCCCTAAGACAGATATTCTGACAGATTCTAAAAAACATATTTTCCATATACTTCATAATTCAGTGAAACTAAACTAGTATAATCCTCAGTGAAAAAAAAATCCACACAAGAACAGCAGTACAGTACTCTGAATTTTCAAAGGAATGTGAGTTGCTGGAAGCTAATCAAAAGTATGAGAAGGACTTAAAAATGAAGCAGTTTCTTAAAGTGAAAATCAGCAAAACTGCCTCTCCTTCCCCAAAACTTTAATGCCCTTCAAAAACCTCCATTTTTAAAAATCATCCACCATTTTAAGATATTAAAGCATATTTTAAAAGGTACTGTCTAGATTAGAGCCACAGATTAAACTCACATAAGGGAAATAAGGCTATATAGTGATGTCTCCACCATCCAGCGTCTGATATAAGTTAGCACTCTCAAGTACTCGGAATGACAGGGAGTTCAGAAGTTTAAAAAGCTTTAAGAAATTTACGCAGATTAATTGTATCTGCAATTGTGAAATGCAAACTGGCTTAAATGCTTCTATTCCAAGATTTTCTAAATGAGGAAATTTCTACACGACAGAGGACAGTGTGGTGATCAAAATGAGAAGCTATATTCTATGCTTTCCAGAGTAAGAAGTCTGGATTTTTTCCCAGCATAAAATGGGCTAAAGAGCTACTTCACAGATGCTTATACTTACAATTTCTCAATTATGATGAATTAATATAATGTACAGAGTACGTGACCACAGATAAAGATGATCAAGTGATGAACTATGTCGAAATTTAAAAAAAGGTCATATCAGATTATGGATGGTAGTTGAAAAGATACAGAACATAATAACAATTATTTTATTTAGAGGGAAAAAAAGACTTTGGGAGATGCTGCCTTAGTCACTGAGTGAATATTAATTTGGCCAAACTGATGCACACTGTGTACTACATTTCTACAAGAAAGAAGCAAGTGACAGGAGATCAAACTGATGTAAGGTATTTCTTCATATAGCCAAATATCAGGGAAGCCCATAGAATCAGCATGATTCAGCCCAATAACCCTACTGTAGAACATGGTAACTGATTCTAATGATAATCCTGACTCATCAAGAAAAATTTAACTCCCTGTGGCGTGACTTTTTTGTGTGGTCACCCTTTCTCTGTAATTGGGGCCATACTGATACATGAGTGCAATATACTTCCATAGCTCCCTCACACATACACTCAGGACTTTCTGGCTTTTTATAGACTGTGAGTAGGGAATCAACATTTCCCTACATGTAAGTTCCACAACAGCAAGGATTTTTGTAGGTATGGTCACTGTTACAGCCCCACTGTTTAAAACAGTGCCTAGCACACAACAGACATGCAATAAACATTTATTGAATAAACACCTATCTTTTATAGAAGATCAGCAACCTAACTTATGACCAGTTCCTATAAGAAGAACTTGCCAAGTTATTTATTCCTTGAAAATCTTGACAGATCATGAAGAATTAATATTTACTGATGTATCCCAAGTCTATCAAGGCAAGAAAGTGGAACATTTAGAAATAAAGATGCTTAAAATGCTGGCTTTTAGTTATCTGGGATAAGATCCTATGGGAAGTTTCTGAACTAAGATCACACATCAGGAAGGGTAAATACCACAACTGAGATTTTGTAGAGAAACATTCAAATGAAAGAACCATGCATGTCAAAACACTGGTTCAGCACCACCTTCCAGTAAAACCAATGTTATGGTTCCAGAACAGTTCTTCCCTGAGAGTACTGACAGTAGACTCCCGTTGAACCACCCAAGCCACGGTGGCACTGGTGAACTTTTGGAAAATGAATCTTACATTTCTCATTCATTTATCTTATTTATTTATTTATTTATTCGCCAACGGCAGGAAGATAACAGCACATAGAAAAGCCTTATCTTGATTTACCTGGTGCCGGGCTCGACTCTGATCCAGAAGCTGCCGGGACTGAAGTTTTTGCTGTTCAAGTTGCTGCAGGGCAAAATGGAGTTGGTAACTGCCCGCTGTGGGGTGATACTTGTGCTGGGGGACCACCCCTGTAGCCTTGCTATATGCGTTGTTCTCTACCTCTCCCTCCCAGGCAAAGCCATCTGTTTGGAGGCTCCTGAAGAGAAAAGAAGGCAGGATTTCTTTGAGTGGTTATAGGAACAATTTAAAGGAAAGGAGAGAAATGTCTCAGGTATTTTCCTTTATAGAACCAAACACAGTTTGGAATTACAAATCTATTTGTGTGATAAATTAGCTGACTTTCCCACTAAACTGTAGCTCCATGAGGACAAGGACAGTGCTTTGCACTCCGTTCTATTCCTAGTGCTTCTCATACGGCTTGGCACATGGTCAATGTCCAAGAAATATTTGCTGATGTTAAATAATTGAAATAGCTATTTCATTCCCCTGTGATTGCCACTAGGACCTCCAGGAAGAGTCTAGGGAGCTTCAAATGCGGGCTGATAGGCTAATTTAAGGTAAGAATAGAGGCACAATCATCTTCTCTAACACCAACTTCAAAAGCTAAGGGGTGAATTACACAGAATTGTTGATTTTTTTAAACCACCCATTAGTGAAGTATCTAAATCTTTTTAGAAGCTATTTATATTTGAGCTTATGTCCCCATCACTGGGTAACATAATTGGTGTGAGAAGACACTTTTTTAATTATGGCAAATTTACCTCAATATGGTCCCCATCCAGGCTGACGATCAGCCTGGTGAAGGGCCTTTTTGACCTATGCTATGCTGTTTGTTAAATACTTTATCTTCCTTACCTAAATTCTTAAATTCTAGATCTTGGTGACCATGTCTGTATACATACTAGTAGCAGTCTTCATAACTACAGGCTCCTACATTTCCCCTTGAAGACCAGGTAGAAAAGTCACCATTTATACCAACTCACACCCATGGCTATTATTAAAGCAAAACAAAAACTGGAAAATAACAAGTGTTGACAAGGATGTGGAAAAACTGGAACCCTCGTGCACTGCTGGTGGGAATGTAAAGTATTGCAGCTGCTGTGGAAAACACTTTGGTGGTTCCTCAAAAAAGTTAAATACAGAATTACCAAATCACCTAGTAATTCCACTTGTAGATATATACCAAAAGAATTGAAATTAAAACACATAACTGCACGCTAATGTTCATAGTAGCGTTATTCACAACAGTCCAAATGTCCATCATTAAATGAATGGATAAACAAAGTGTGTCATCTACATACAATGAAATATTACTCAGCTTTAAAAAGAAAGGAAATTCTGACATATTCCTCAGCATGTGCATAGAACACTGAAGACATGATGTTAAGTGAAATAAGTAAGTCACAAAAGGACAAGTATTATATGATTCTGCTTATATGCAGTACCTAGAATTTTAGAGAAAGAAAGTAGAATGGTGGCTGCCAACAGCTAGAAAATAGGGATTCATTGTTTAGCAAGTATAGAGTGTCCATTTTGGATGATGACAAAGTTCTGGAGATGAATGGTGGTGAAAGTTATACAATAGTGTGAATGTACTAAATGCCACTGAATTGTACACTTAAAAATGGTTAAAATGGTAAATTTTATGTTACATATATTTTAATATAGTTTTTTTTTAAAGTCCCCATTTATTTTGAGAACAGCCTTATTTAGCAGTCCTTCTCCTTAACATTTTTGGTTATTCTTCTTTGGACCTTCTTTAACTACTCTGTATTTTTTTTTCCCTTTTTGAAGTACAGCAGCGAGAAAATTGTACATAGAAGAAACATTATAAAGACTCTCATAGTGAACCACCTTACCCCAAACCCTGGTTAATGGGTTTAGAAAAATGAAACAGAACCTATTAATAATTTGAGAGAAGTATTCATATTGATTTAAATCATCGTGTTATTCTTTCCTTTGGCATTAATGGTCATTTCAACGGCAGAGGTACAGCAACATTGGGTGAGGTTATACAGACCTTCCTGAGTCCTGACCTAAAGGCCACCTGGTTATTTATAGCCTGAGTCCCAGTGACCCAAAAGAGCACTGTGGGAGGGAGCAAAGTGAAATGTTTGCTGAGCTCAGAAATCCATGTTCCTCTCTTGCATGTTACCTCCTTTGTAACCTGGTCATTTCAGGCCTCTGCTTTGGTTTCCCAGTCTCTCTCAAATGAAGAGATTTCCGCATCTCTAGTTAAGGGTAAGTCTGGGCAATGTATTCTGAAGTCCATGGATGAAAGGTTTTCTACCACATAATCTCACCTCCGATATGTCACATCCCTTGCTCATCTTCTCCCATAGTTTGGCTCCCACAGTTCACTTGCTCAATTACACACCATCAGCTAATCTTCTTGGAGAACAGTACCCAAAAGCTCAGAGCTTATTTGCTAATTTTTTTTGAGAACGACATTTGATCTTCAGTGATCCCACTTGAAATGCTTCAATATACATACTATTAGAAAGTTGAAAGGACATCCTTTCCCAAGGGGCTCCCAGAGGTATAGACAAATGTGGTGAGCACTGATTGAATATAAATAAGTACCTTAATATATTAATAAGCTGTTAACATTATTCACAAAGTAGGGTGTTGAGTGGGAGTAAAACAGGATTACATAGTTAGGAAAGGAAGAGCCAGAGGAACCTATTATCTCTTTTCTCATTAGTAAGGGAAGAGAAAAGTTTACTGAAGATAACACCCCCAAAATAGACTGAATAGCTAAAGGAACTGAGTGAGCTGTGAGCAGAAGGCCAGGCCTGGAGAAAGCTATCCGTGTTTAAGGCAGGAGTAGGCTGATCCAATGAACGGATGAACACAAAAAGGAAGGGACAGGAAGGGACTCAAAGTAGGAACTGCCTTGGCTAAATAACCTTAAGAATTCCACACCAATTAGGGTAGGTACTGCTTTGAATAAAACTATTACTTATGATAACTGGACCAAAGGTCAGGAAATTCATCAACAGTGATTCTGTTTCCATTCCAGGTTTTCTGGTTATAGAAGCTTCTGGCCATAGGTAGCAATCTAGACTCAGAGATTAGACATTAGAGGATTTACATAATGATGAGGCTTGTATCAGAATTCATCTCACTGGCTAGGTAGATTAGTTTTATTTGCTAAAAGCTGTTTTAATAACAAATATCCCCCAGGAGGCATTCACTTTAATGCCTTCGTGCTGTATATCAGAAATCCAAGTCTGTAACCAGGCCCCCTTTTGTGGGGATGATCATGGACAGGTTCTCAGGTGTGTGAACAAGGGTTAGGACAGTGGGCACGAGAAGATCAAACAAGGGACTTTGCATAAGAAGAGATGTGTTCTTCCAACTGCACACATATTGAACGGACTGGAACATCATAAACTTTTATAATGAAATCTGTTTTTAATCTCATCAGTAACATAAGCCCAGTCTCCAAATCACAAAAGGAAGTTTCTCAAGCAAGTAGAGGCTTTTAGTAAAGAGGCAGGAATTTTTATAGTGCAACACTGGGTGGGGGCAGGAATGCTCAGCTGTGTAATGTAATAAGTGCCACAAGAAACTTGCTTGCTTTGAATTACAGTGGGTGCTATTCAGGCCATGGTACCTCACGCTTAAAGCACAAGACTTTGGGGTCTGCAGTATGCAAGTGCTATGTTAACTGACATGGAGGAGGCCAGGTGTACCACAACTTGGGCTTTCCCTGATTTCTGGTGCCTAAGTTTATATATCTAAATACTCCTTTCTCTGGCATCTAACAGTTTCCACTTCCATCCAAAATTCCATCCCATTCTTGAACCTCAATTAATTCTATTTTACTACTAATACATTTTCTTATCCCACCAAAATTTTGAGATTCATTCTAAAATTTAGTGTTTCTATATTATTCTTTGCTCAATACTAAAATATTGTACATATGCCCTGTAAATATCATCTAATTGTTTTACATTATTTCTAGAACAGGGTATATAGAGCCAAGAGAGTTAGCTGTGGGAATGATCATTTGATTCAAAGTGAACTATGCTGTATTTTGCCTTCACAACGTTTGTAGCTAACAGGCAACAATATAAGTCTTTCTAAATACTACATTCTCTTCTTAGCCTGTGCATTTATAACTTCATCTTATTTTCTATATTACACGGTGGCACTGCAGGACGAAATGTTTTTCTCTATAACTGCCCTTCCCGCAGCACACCTGCAACCTCCAGCCAACATACACTGAAGGGTATACTTTTCCCTCTTCTTTAATATCTGTCCCTTCAAATGGATATCGGTTTTAGGGAGCTTGGAGGGAATCTACAAAATGTAAAGCAAAATCTCAACAGGAAGTTGCACTCTCCGTAAAGATATGCTTTCAGCTTCAAGATTTCCTAAGAATGATGTGATGTCACAGGAGTGTATGGGTAGGGGTAGAGGCAGAGGACCGTGACACTTGTACACAGAGTGTGCTTCCACTGTCCCTATCCCAGTTTCCTTCACTCAATCTCAGCCAAACAGGAGCTACTATGTTCGGGGATGCCCCACCCCTCTAGACAGCAGACGGAACTATGTGGGTGTGCTTTCAATCATGGGGGGTAGGGGGATTACTGATGTTATACAGGTAGAGGTCAAGGGTATTCTGCATTTCCATGCAGAAATGCAAGGAATAGTCTTGTACCAGCAAAATGTGTGCTGCTCAAAATGCCAATGCTGCTTCTGAAAGAAACACTTTAAGGTCATGAAGGAAGTGAAGTGCTTTCTGGGGAGAACCTTACTATTTACAAGAAAGAATATCCATCCACATCAATGGCACTTTATGGAATGTACAGATATTTAAGGATGGCAGAAGCTGTATTTCCTCTGGCTATAAATTCTGAATCACAAACAGTAGTCCTGTAGTAAGTGCTACAAATCCTCCAGATGATAGCAGGACTCCAGTGAGCTGTACAAAGCAGTGCTGGCCAGAATAAGGAAGCTGTGTGATCAGAGAGGCATGATAATGTGGTAGGGTTCTCCCCTGGCATTGAGAGTATTTCCAAGGACAAAATTAGAGTGGCTCTGCATGGAATGAATATTGTGTGTCCCGATATGAATGTCTCTCAGGACAGCTGGAACTGGGTCACATTCACAAAGACCAAATGGATAAAGACAGAGTAAAGCAGGGAAGAATCCTCTCTACTGTAGTCTTCATTACATCTTCTCTGT